GTGGGTGGGCGGGTGGGTGGGTGGGCCCGCGTGCGCTTATGGGTGCATGTGCGTGGGCGTGCGTGCACGAGTGCAATTGCAAGCTGCGGGTGCACGCGCTCGAGCCCCCGCGCACGTGTCGCGCACGCGCGCGACCGCATGTGGCGAGGCAGCCACATGCAGAGTCTGAGGAACATCATCAAGTCTCTTGCAAACATCCTTGAGAATCGAGATCCGATTGTTTTCTCAGTTCTCTCAACAATTTGCTGCCCAGCTGGCCAGTCTCTTCCCGGTCATACCTCAGACGAAGGCAGTGACCATGTCTGTCTAAGGTCGAACAGTCTGCGACGGAGCATGAGCTCTTGGGCTACAGGTGCTGTGTGCAGCAGAGAGCACCTTTGCATCAGTTCGAGAGCTTCGGGCTTCTTGATTTCGAAGCCCATTGCTCGGACAGCAACCTCAAAAGTGCACGAGTTCCGTGGGATCCCATTGCAGTTCGTGCAGTCTTCTTGCCACCTTGAGTTCGTGGTAGTCCATCTTCCCAGTTCTCTCTGAATCGAAGATGTCGAAGGCCTCTTCTGCACTAGACTAAGAAAGCCAAGGATTCTTGAGCAAAGGTCAGCCCGTCTTGCCTCTTTAATCTCTTGGCGCTGCTCCTGTCCCAGGGACAGGGCAACCCGGCTGAAGTACAGGTTTGCGTGTGTCAAGTGACACAGCAAAGCACATGTCGGTACAAGTCGGAAACTAACAGTTAGACTCAGACAAAAAGAGTCAAACAAACTCCTTCCACGAAAGCTCTGCCCGAATTTTAAAGACGCCTCCAGGCCTTGCAGCTACCGACAGCCGACAACAAACGAAAATTCGCCTAAGGGCCGAACATGCATCCTGGATCCTGACTCAAGCCGTGAAACCTGGAGCTGCAAGGCAACCTCAAAACCATGCACCGAACCATTAGGAGATTTAGGAGATGTCGCACAAGGGCAAAACTATCCCGCACAGCGGTCCTTTGACACTGCTCGAGCTGCTTGATGAGCTCGCTGATTGCGGCCGCGAAAATCGCGCCCATCGAAGACATTTCGCCTCGCAAACGTAGGGAAGACACGCTCAGCAACCTCATTGCTTCCTCATGCACCCCTTGCAAAAATTGTGCCTGCCAGCTCCTTGCATCTGCTCAACTGCTATTCTGGCTTGCACTATCGTAGGTGCTGCACGAAGGCTTCTACCAGTAGCAAAGCATCACATCTCAGATGTACAAATGCTTGTTTCAATGCAGCTGCACTTCCTGAGAAAGGGCTGCGATCGTACTTGCCAATCAATGTGGGGATGTCTTCATACGCAGGTCACCTGTCTTGAATTGAGCTTGAATGCCGGCAGGACATAACGCAGCGACCAGTTCGCATCTGAGCGACATCAAATTCCGATGGACTATCTCGGTCTCCGGCAAGCTTTCACTGCTTTAATTTGGGTGTTTTCTTAACGTCTCTGGCAACTGATGCAATCCTTGATTCCATCAGATATGCGCCCTTGGATCTTTCCCAAACAATGGACTGATACAACCTGCTGCTACAGGAATCACTTGTATCAGCGGCTCAGGCCGAATACGGCTGCTGCGGTTCAGGGCGGGCGGAGCACTCGGGGTTTCTTAAAAGTCACTAACAATGGAAATCTAACTGCCAGTGAACATCTTGCCACCGCATTAACAGGTAAAACGGAGCAGAACCGAGAATGCATCGGAAGAACCATGCAATATGGACTTGTGAAGTATGCTGGTGCTGAGATGTCGAGATGTCCAACAATCAGCTTTCGGCTTTCGGCTTGTGCAGCAAAGCTATGTCTCGCTCACTCACTCACTCACCCACTCACTCACTCACGCGCTCACTCACGCACAAACTCAATTGTGTGTGCAGCAGACCTGAAAAAACGTGATATCACTGTGTCACAATCACGCACGACTGCACAATAAGCACAACCACGGACGGGAAAACGATACAAGTACCATCTTCAAGTTGATAATGAAACACTTGCCTCAGGGAATACAAGGTGTAATGTACACAATGTACGTATATATATATATGATGTATACACACACATACATATCAGTTGCCTGTAGCTCCAACGCTCGAGAACTCGCTGAACAGCCCTAAAGTCGCACGGGCAAGACCTGTTTGTGCGACCACAATGTGGGAATCGGCCACAAATCAAACCTCGAACATGTCTGATCAGTCTGATCTTCACCATTCCGAACGGATGTTCCGATCGCCGAAAGGCGCGCCAGAGAAGCTGGCGATCGCACCACATTCATCCGAACGAAAACATCAGAAGAGATATTCCCAGCCCCCCGAAGAGAACTAGGCCCTAACTAAGCATCGACCGCCGGAGAAAAATCCTCGATCGGATCCGACGAGGAAACCGACACATCTTGGCTCGGATCTTCTGGAAGAGGCTCGGACTGCTGGATCTCGACCGCGGCATCGTCAGTTTCGTGCAGCCGAGGAGACCCGACCGGGGCAGGATCAGCCCGCGGAGCGGCATAAGCAGCCGGGCGTTGAACACCCGCATGACGGAATGGGCCCCCCGGGCTTCCCTTCATGTGGGGCCCCGGAGCCGTGGTTATATCCGTGGCTGGATCCGCCTGCTGAGCGGCGCTGATCCGCTTGAACTCCTGGGCCTCGCGAGCCTGCCGAACTTCAGAGACAGCCTTCGGGGGAACGAAGTGCGCGAGAACCGCATGTCGGCCCTCATGCGATCGCGGGCTCCGGCGAGAACCGGCCGCATCGCCTGAATTGCTGAAGCCCGCTGATCACACGTCTGCTGTGCAAAAGCGGGAACGCTGGCGATCGCCGAAGAAGCCGACGCTCCCAACTCGCGCACAGCATGCCTGGCCGCCTCCTCCATGATCGCGGGCGGCCTCACGAACGCAGAAATCACCTTCTCTGTCGCGCGGGAAGGAATCTGTGAAGGTGCCCACATCCTCGGCGTCGGGCCCCTCGACGCGAGCGCGCTGCTGGCGGCAAGCCAGGATAGCGTTGATCAACGCCGGTCCAGAGATATGGCTGACCGAAAGCCACGTCCCCGGCACAGACGTTCGCCCACACTTCAGGTCGATCCGGTTGTTGGCGATCGACGTCATTCCCGTTGCCCTCCTCCGACGACCGAGAGGCGACCCGGAGCTCAGAATTGCTCCTGGCGTGATCGCTGGCCGCCACAGATCACGGAGACCTTCCAGCCGACGAAGAAACAGGACATCGCTGCATCGAAGACCTTCACATCCACATAGGTGGCAAAGGTATCGAACATCACTGGCCAAGTGAACGGCTGAAAAGCCGAGCGGGACAAAGCCGAGCCGGCATGGGAGTGCCACTGAGCACAAGGCCCTCCGGTCTTGGACAACATGGTGAACACCAAAACCACCGTGATGCCGTCGAGCCTGTAGTTCGAAAAGTGCGCAATGGTCCGAATTCGGCGGCATCATTGGATCCCGCTCCTTGGGCACATTGATGGAGCTGGCGGCATTGGACATGATCTCGTCCGAGCCAATTCCGGAACGGGCAGATCAGTCGCTCGTCCCTGTTGCCGACCACCAACAAGCAGTTGCGGGTGGGATCTTCCGCCTCGACCACCACCTGCTCTAGGAACTCGGGCTTCTGCACCGCGAACGGGTTCTGGGCAGCACAGCGGCCCGATCTCCTCTTTGGCGGCGACGATCGCGATCGTTGCCCGATCCTCCACTTCCCCAGTCGCCAGAGCCTGCAGGCGGAGCCGCCGGATTCTCGGGGGCCTGAGCTGCCCGGGCGTGTAGAGCCCCCATTGACCAACATCTGCTGCTGGTTGGGCAGCCCGAACTGGGGAGTCTGTGGCTGAACTGGGCCGCGATAGGGGCCGGCTGCAGGGAACGACATTGCTGGTCAAGGATCTAATCTTTCCCCACGCCAACAATCGAAAATCCGGGCCGATCGGCTAATCGCCAAAATGGCCACAAAAAAAGATCAGAACTCCGGGCTGTTCTTACGAAACTGACCTCCTAATTCCTACCTACCAGACATAAAATTAGGAGACATGTATGTACGCATGCATGCATGCATGTGTCTGTGTGTGTGTGTGTCTCTGTTTGTGTGTGTGTGTGTGTGTGTCTGTGTGTGTGTGTGTGTGTGTCCGTGTGTGTCTCTGTGTGTGTCTCTGTGTGTGTGTGTGTCTGTGTCTCTGTGTGTGTGTGTGTGTGTCTGTGTGTGCGCGTGCGTGTGTGTCTGTCTCTGTGTGTGTGTGTGTATGTGTCTGTGTGTGTGTGTATGTGTCTCTGTCTCTGTGTGTGTGTGTGTATGTGTGTGTCTCTGTCTCTCTGTGTGTCTGTGTGTGTGTGTGTCTGTGCGTGTGTCTCTGTGTGTGTGTCTCTGTGTGTGTGTGTGTGTCCGTGTGTGTGTGTGTCTGTGTGTGTGTGTGTGTCTGTGTGCGTGTGTGTGTGTGTGTGCGTGTGTGTCTCTGTCTGTCTGTGTGTGTGTGTGTGTCTGTGTGT